TATGAGTACAGCCTGGCATACATTGGTAGCAGTCCTTTAAGAAAAGACCACAGGATCAGAGCAGTGAGTTGCTACACTTCAGCTTGTAAGAAAACACAAGGGTTTATCAGATCAAGAAAGGAGGCACTAGGGTAGAAATGACAGAGGAAAGAACTTCTTGTAAGGAAATGTAGTAAAAGAGTATGTTCAGGAAATTAGAAGCGTATAAGGAGCAAAAAAAAAAATAGAAGATATTCTGCATCACTCAGTATAGAAACAGCACTCAGACCCTCACAATCATGAGAGGTTAGAGACAAAACTCATGAATTAAGGACCTTTTTGATCTGTAGGAGATACAAATTTTGCACAGGTACACAATGGGATGTTTGGCTTAGGAAACAGATTATAGAATAGTAGTTGACTATAAGCAGAATGTACATCAAGAATGTGAACTGGCTGCAAAAATGCAATTTTGGGCAGCATTAGCAAGTATAGATTTCATATCAGGAGAAGTAATCATTCCACTTGATTCTATGTCAATCATCTTAAACTCCCACTAGAGTTCACAGGATGTGTTCAGACAGAGGCTGGCCAATCATCCATTATTGATGTTTTAATTTGGATTATCATATTAAGCAAGGGGTTGGGCTCAGTGGCCTAAATAGCCCTATTCAGCTCTATGACTATGATTCTAAGACTGTCCTAGCTCCTTCAGTCTGCAGAGAATTGATTTACCATTACAAGGACATAAACTGAACAGGCAAATGGGTAGTCAAGTTTGAATTCAAAAGGAATACAATTCTTACTGATAGCCAAAGTTCACAGCAAAGTATGGTATAAAGTAGTATATGGGTCACACAAGGCTTGACTAATATGGAGAGTTGTCTTATTGCAAGGCTGATGGAAATAAACACACAGAGACACACATATGCCTCTATCTCGGCACTGATCAATCCTGATTTCTAGCACTAGGTTGCTCCTGAGTTGCCTTGCATACAGGGTATGCTTCTCTGTGAAATTTTGTTGTCTCCCTGATCCTTGACTCACACACACCCAATGACATTCCCATGGCTGGGTAGATGAGACTCCGATTCATGATCAGTATCACAAGACCATGGGTAGTTGGTCCTAACTGTTGCTAGGGCCAAGACCTCCTGTGTCTGGTTGCCCCACTGCCTCATCCTGGACTTCTTCCAAATCTGAGGATGACTCCTCAGCCACCCCTCTTCTGGATGAGGAATATGATATTGTAGATAGGGATGACTAGTGAACGATGGTATGGCACATTGTAGAAATGCATGACAACTGGATAAGACACATATAGACCATTGGCTTATTTCAATCTGAGGAACTGCACTGACCTGCATTAATGAAACAAATCTTGTCAAATTCTAGACATTTCACAAAATACAAGAAAAACTAATATTATCTCCCAAAAGACAGGGACAAAACTCTACCGATAAGATTAAAATAATGTTAAATGTCACTACTTTCAATGGGAGAAAGGACTGTGGTTAAATCTTCAATGAAAATTATATTTACAAATCTTTACCTTTGGCTGTATAGTGCCCATTTTTCTATAAAAATCATGTTGTATTATTGCAATAAGTATGGTAAATTGCATAAAATATTGGTCCTGTAAGTTTCAAGAAATTACATACCAGTTATAAGAAGTATGAAGAAAGCATCTAGAAAAAGAAAAAAAGCATTCTGTTACGTGAATCTCTTTCTCTCTCTCTCTCTCTCTCTCTCTCCCCCTCTCTCTCCACACACACACACATGCATAACAGTTATGGAAAGGCTACACATATGGTTCATGGGGTAACGAAGAGTCGGACACGACTTAACAACTCAACAACAACAACAAAAATCATGTACTACAGTATAAGATAGGAACCATAATATAGCTGGAAAACCTATTTTGTTTATTCTAGTATTCAAGTATTCTATATACTTGAATCAAAAATAGAAATTCCTTTTTTTATTCCTTCAAATAGTCGACATTGAGCATTTTGGCATCTGAAGTTAGTTGACTTTTCTAAATTTTATACACATGTCTAAATTTCATTAAATACATTTCTATATTTTCAATAAATAGGTAGGTGTTGGAGATAGTGATGTGTAAGATAATGAAAGTATAATTATTAAAAGGCAGAAATGAGATTCTAATTATTACACAAATTATTAATAGATTCAAGCAATACATAAGGCATTGAAGATCTTGGGCCTTAGAAGCCCAGGGGTCAAACTCAATATCACCTTCAAAGTACGGAAAGTTTAACGCTTCCACAGGCATAAATAACCACAATGCAAAAAAGGTTCAAATTTGCTGCTGCTATTTTAGCCACACAGGGACATTTGGTATATGTTTTATTAGAGTCGGGTATGGAGCCAATTAGGCAAAGTCAGTCCCAATGTATTGGGACCATTTTCCTATTGGTCAAATCTATACTTGGTGCACCCAACTTAAGTCCTGCTGCTTTGTCTTCCATAAGGGAAAACACATCTGTTAAGGACCAAGTTTTGCAGAAATCCTTCTTTATCTGGCAAAACACTCAGCTTCTGGCCTCCAGATACCAATTTCACAGGCAACAGCTCAAGACCAGACAGCGACTAAACACTAACCTGAAGTTCCTGAAGTCCAGTGTTAATTTCTTCCGCTGTTCTTCTCTCTTCTTAAAAAAACTTCTATTCCTCCCAAAACCACAGAAAAACAAAATCCCAAATATTGACCCCACTCAGTTGCATCATTAGCTTACCTATTGCAATCTTTGGGCTCCTCCAAAGTATTTTTTTAATAATAATTTTTATTAAAGTTTACAGATACAAAGATACAAAACTAATACAAACTAAGAAAAATATAAAAAGAAGAAAAGTGCAGGGGGGAAAAAATCAAAAAAGAAAAAGAAAAAATAGTAAAGAAAAGAGATATATAAGGAAATGACTTCCCCCCTTCATCAAGACAAGTACAAACAATTTCAGTGACTTATCACCTTCTCTGATACAACAAAAGATCTCTTTCCCATATCTCATCTCTTATCTATAAACAAGTTTTAAAGCCTCATCATTCAGTCCTGCTCAAGAAAAATCCATTAAGAACTACCAGAAACAACAACATATATATTTTAACCTTGATCAAATAACCCAACTTGATATTCTTTCCCTTTGCTTTTAAAAATCTTGATCTTTAATCCCTTTAAATGGTGTCCCAAAAGTTGATTTCTTTTCATTTTCTCTTTGTCTCTTCTCAGAAACTCCTTCTTAAGTTTAACATATCTCTTTGGTGAATCCAAGATAAAAAAGTTATCCAAGTCACTCTTCTGGTTTGTTATTTGTATCCCCCTTTTAATTATTAAGACATCAGCCAGTTTCATTTGTAAATCCAGTGTAACATCTTTTTCTATATCATTCTTGTAATGTGTTATTTTTAATTCTACATTTGAAACTGTCTCAGTCTTGTCCTATTCTATCACATCTTTTAAATCCATTTTTATGATAGCAGACAATCTTAAAAATGTCTGAGTGCATTGTTCCCAAATATCCTTGAATTCTTCCAAAGTTAGAATATTTTGTTATATTCTGTATTAGTTGGTCTCTTCTCCTTTAATTAACTCCTTTAGTTCTTTCTGGTTCCCCGCAATCAACATTTTCCCACTGGAAGGTTCTTACACTTAGTTTCAAAATCTTCATATTTTTATAGAATTTTAAACAACCCACAGGAAAGATTCTCGTAATTAATTTCAAAATCTTATTTCAAATCCATCTGGCCCCTTAGTCTGTTTATAACTTTCCAAAATCAACATTCTAATCACCCTTTTGCTGTTTATTACAAAATAAGATTTTTTTAAGGATTTAAGTAAACTCACCAGGTGTAATGAAACTTGCCTTTCTGAAGGTTCTTAATATCCAAAATGCTGTTAACAAGCAATTTCCAGAAGTGATTAAAAAAGGAAGTATGCAAACCCAGTGTCCTTTTGAAGGCTTAGAACTGTGGCTTGGGCAAAGATAGCTTTCCCTCGGCTCCCAGAGCTCTAAAACCCACCAGAGACCATGGTCTTATGGTCTCCTTGTGGGGAACCACTGTATGGAGCACTTGTGTGCAATCCCAGGTCCTCTCCTTGCTCTAGAGAGGAATTCCGAGGAGCTGATCCATTCACTGGCTCTTCATTCTGCCACAGTTGTCAGCTCCATTCTCAGCAGAGCCATCTTCAGTCCACCATTGCTTCCCCAGAAGTTGGCTCCTCCAAGTATTAAGTATAGCCTTCAGTCAAAAGAGTGTTCCCCACCACAGACCTTAGACTTAACAAAGCACAGAAACTGTAATTCAAAAAGTTGTTCCTTAGAGTCTAAGGAACAACTCTTCAAATTACAATATCTGTGCTTTGTTATCCCTGTCCAACTGAGCATATGACTGGGATTTAGAAGTCCAGAATAACACAGTGTACATACTTCGAAAGAAATTTAAAGAGTATTTTGCTTAGGTTCTTTTTTCATCAGGGCCAAACTAGACATTGTACAGTTTTGTAGACATGAAACTCAAAGCATGCCATGAATGAAACATGCACTCAAGATGCTGAAGTTGAGAAAAAGAAAAACAACCTGTGTTCTAACTTGTTCCCAGAGTAATTTTACTCATTTCCCTTACTGTTCCCCTCCATAGCAAAGGCAGAAAATATGCTTTAGGCATGGATATTTTCAGTAGGAACTAGGAAAATGGTTATGCAGCTACTCCCTCCAATGATCAACCACAGCTCCAACATTAAATAATATCCGGATACATGCTGTATGCCTGCCCATTAATGTTTAATATGAGCCTATTTTTAACTTTTTGTACATCCATTATGGTGAAGAGCTACTAGCAATAAAATCTACATTACACTACACACAGTTCATTCTCAGAAATGGATCCCCTAGCAGTAGGAGGACAGGGTCCCTTCTTTCTGTTCATGGCATCTGCCCTTTCTGTACAAGGAAATTGAAAGTGCCTGCTTTGAATGCAGTCCTCCAGGTTTTCCATTTGAATGCCTACACTCCTTTAAAGCCGTCAAAGTACAGACAATGATGAGAATGAGTAAAAGGCAAAAAGGCAACAAAATACATCTACTTCCTACACAGGTAAAGTAGAATGGCTAAAGTCAGCATATGTTTGCAAATCATATACATACTCAGAGAACAAGTAGGAATCTCGGGCACCCACTGCTTTCCACCAATGTACCGAATCTTCGATGGCCCTCTTAATGCATAGCCAGCATTACAGTTCACAGTAATGTTATCTCCAGGCTTATACCCTTCTTTTTCCCCATGAGCTATATTTCCATTATGAATATATAGTTGAACAGTGTCAGGTATAGTTCTAACTGAAAAAAACAACAATATGAATATGAAAAACATGCACAGATTACAAGGTTGCCTTCCAAAGTCTCTCACACTTGAATTTTGTAAGCTATTAAAAGAAAGGCATGAATTATAACCTAATTTGCAACATTTTTCGCATTTAAAAAAAATTCTGCCAAGTGGTGAATAGGATGCCATTCAAGAGCCCTTTAAACACTGCCAAGGCTTTGGTTTTCATCAGTCAGCTTCTTCAAAGTAGAATTAAAACAGTGGTACTACAAGGTTTTATTCTATCAATTAATGCTTTTAAAAATTTAATTTCTCAATTTCTACTGGGACATAGTACTGCGATAGCATTGGTTACACCTGCTGAGCCAGGACAGGGCTACTGACTTCCTGGTTCTCCTTAATCTCTTGACAGCTTTTGATACTATTAGTCAAGGTATCTTTATGGACCACCTCCAGGGATAAGAGTGGAAGGCATTGTATTCTGGAGGTTTTCCTCCTTTCTCTGTGATCAAGTCCAATCAGTGTTGGCAAGGAGTGGGAGAGAGACTGAGCCAAAGACCTCTGGCATGTGAGGTGCTTCAAGGCTAAACAATCTTGCCCCTCCTGTTTAACATCTACCTAAGGCTGCTGGGTATGGACATCCATCAGTTTGAGGTAAGGTATGATCAGTTGTACATCTCAACCCTGGTACAACTAGGTGATGCTGTTCAAGGACTTGTCCCAGCATCTGGAGGATGTACAGGTCTATATGGGGAAGAACAGGTTCAAACTCCACCCAAGACCAAGTGGGCCACCTGGATCTGGAGATGCTCCATTTTTAGTCAAGAACAGGTTTACATTTCCCCCTTCAGGACTGGTGTGCAATTTGACAGTCTACTTGGACTTACATCTCCCAGTTGAGGACCAGGTGGCAGCTGTGGCCAGGAAGGCTTTTGGACAAATTAGTGTGCCAATTGCACCCATATCTGGACCATGAGACCCTTAAGAGAGCCACTTCTGTTTTGGTAACTGTATTTGGACATGCAATGTACTCTACATGGTGCTACCCTTGAAGACCGTTCTGAACTGCAGCTGGTCCAGAATGCAGAGGCACAGGCACTTATGGATTACTCTGTTTCATGAGTGGCACGGGTTACCAGTAAGCTTCTGAGTGCAATTCAAGGTGCTGATTATCATCTATAAAGCCTCTTCATACCAGAGAGCCTAGTTATATGAGGGACTGTCCATCCTATATGACTTAGTAGAGTGGGCATGCTCCACATCCTATTGATTAAATGATATCAACTGATGGGACCCAGCAAACCAGCCTTGTCTGTCATGACACCTGCCCTATGGAACAATATCTCCCCAGAAATTCATATGACCCCTCACTCTGACCTTACTCAAACGAGCCCTTAAAACCTGGTTCTTCCCTCCAGGCTTTGGACTAGAATGGGTAGCAGGTCCTGTGATTTGTTTGTTAGAATGTGTGTTATTTTTCTGGGATGTTTGCTGTTTTGTATTGAATTTCTTTTCAATTGTTTTACACTGTATGCCACCCAGAGTCATGATGGAGTCAGGTGGCCTATAAATTTAATAAATTCAATCAATCAATAAAATAAACAAACAAACAAACAACCACAAGCAAAGGAGGGTAAACTCTTTGTATGTTTAGCATATTGCTGAACATATTCATCAATAAATTGATCCAAGATAAAAGCAACTCTCTGCTTGATTACAGTTTCCTGACTCTAGACTGGACACCATACTATTTCAAATAATTTGTGCACTATTTTTTGTGATCTCCAATAAATTCCATGCTTAACAATGTGCTTATCTGATATCCTCAAACCAAGATTCTCAAACTAGGTAATACTAAGGCAACTTAAAATGATACAACAAATTTTTACGAGGCCCACTATGAATAAAACGAATGATTTCACTGGGGTTAAAGCTGAGCAAAAATAATAAATAAATTGTATTGTTAGTGGAAGGATAGGCTTACTTATTTTTGAGAATTCCTGAAATCTGGGGTTCATTCTGAAGAAAGTTACTCTCATTTACCAAGGCCAGGAAAACAAACATAGTGTTCCTTGTCTTAAATCAGCTTCTCTTAAATTCCTCTTAAAATGCTGCAGCTAGCAGAACACCAGCTGGCTACAAATTGCTTTTGGTTCTCTCTCTCCCAGTGCAGCTAGACTGAGATAGCAGTTACAGACCATTTGTTCTTGCCCTTCCAACCTCCCACAACTTTCACGGTTTCCTCCTTTCTGTCCCCTCAAAATCCTTCCTCCCTTCCCCTCTACCAGAATTTCTTTTGCAGAGAAAAATTTAGAGCGTTGCATGGAAGCTTTGTGTCCTGAGACAAGATTATTCCTCCTCTGAAAGGTAAACCCAGTGTGTTTAAAAAAGAAAAAGAACACTCAGGTTGAATTCATACTGGCTTTGAAACTGTTGTGTTGCTTTGATTCAGCATACAGTACCTTGGCATCAAATGATTAAGCTTGCTCAGAAAGAACTCACAAGGAAGGTATTTTCTGGCATCCTTCCAACCATTGGGAGGTCATGCCCAAACAATACGCTCACATAAACTGCTAGCAACAATGTATTGTTAGAGAACCTCTAACCTTGCAAAGGATAAACTATTCATAAATATGTCCTTCAAATGGCTGTTTGACTAAGCAAACCATATCCTAAGTTGATGCTGATGTTGTCAAGTGGATGGAAAAACAAGCGGCTGGATTATTCAGCACATACAATAACAGATCTTATAGTAATGGAGAAATAGCAAATATCTTAGTTAAACTGTTAGAAGAAACAGGTATGTATATTTAAGAACAGAATGTATACGTACAAAAACAAGGTGGTACACGGGGATACCACAAATTGTAGCCTTCACACTGTGCTTTCATCTCTATTGTTTCATCAGGAAAACAATGGTTTTTATGGCAATATACGACGATGGTGCTTCCCATTCCATAACAAGGTTTCAGCGGCTCCACTTTTCCACTGCGAATTATTGGAGCACCACAGAGTCTTGGAGAAACTGTATGTAATAAGATAAAGCTTGAATGTTATTGAAGAAAGCTAATACACTTTTACATTCAATTCATTATTACAGTGTAATGTATCTTGATTTTTAGAATTTTAAGGACGATACTACGATTCTGATTATCACATTTTCCCAAAAGGAAGATGACCCTAAATTTAAACTGTTCACACTTAAAAAAACAAAACAAAGCCCTAAGCATAAAAAACACTCAAAAAAATCCTAATGTTTTGACTTTTTCAACCTAGTGCTGCTAACTCCATTTGAAACCAATCTAGAAGACACCAATAAATGTTTGTGTGTCACATATTTGCAGATGTTTCTGTACAAATGTATCAAAATCTACATTCTGAAAATAGGTAGGCCAGGCAAAAAAATTATCTATTAATATTAATGGAGTTAACAATGGATTAAAATTGACTATAAAATAAAGGAGTTCATCTGATTCCCATCAACATATGTAGGCACACACATACACCACCTCATATTCATTCATTCATAAAGTTTCAGCTTCTCCCTAAAAGTCTGTTCCTTTTAAATGGTATTTGCCTCTATTCTGAGAACATAAAACCACCCTTCCACTTCAGTGGTTATTACTTGGCAAAAAACATGGTTTTCCTTTTTGGGTAAATAAGCCTTTGAACATAGAAATATAATTGTTTTTAAAGAATTCTTACTCTTTCTACAGGATGGTACGGAAGGATACCAGGTATTGTTCTTTACACACTTTATCAAATAATTTCCAATCAAGAAATATCCGATGTTACATATAAATGTAGCAGAATCACCATGGAAATATTCATTTGCAGTTCGATTTACTTGTATGCCATGTTTAACTACTGGTTCTTCACAGTCGAACACTAAAAATAAACAGGAATAAATTTTAAAATCTTCAAATAATGGAACATTTCCTTCAAACTTTTGACAAAACATCTGCAATGTAGCATGCACATACCATGTTTCACATTTACACTCAGATTTTTTTTTCTATAAAGAAAAATGATTTCAATTACTGTATATAGAACATCATCAATCTGGCTTCAAGCTGAAAGGTGTTGAAAAATAGTTGCTCTTCATAACATACATTTTGTCTCTTTCTTCAAGTATCATTGCCTGGCTACAAGGATCCAAATATTGTGTTGGAAGTTTGAAGAACCACCGTATGAAAAGCTCTGATATGCCTGTGGACATTTATTGCACGATATAGCTTTGGGACTTATTAAAATATACTCCAGAAACAGTGCTGAAACTTGGTCTTTAAAGGATTCAGCCATTTCAAGATAAGGAAATGATTGGGGGGAAGAGAGGGACAAAGAACAGAAATAAAAAAAGGAGAGGCTGCTCGCTTTGAAATTTTAGAAGCAAAAGTATAAGGATCTGCTTTCAATTAAATACAATGATCTTCATAAACTGGGTGATCTACCAGCTTGTCCTTGACAGTGTGCTATAGTGGTTAAGGTGTTAAACTACACTGGGATGACCCAGGTTCTAGTCCACCCTCAATCACAGAAGCTCACTGTGTGAATTTAAGCTGGTCACTCTCTGCCCAAACTAACTCCGAGAGCTGGAAACCTAGAGGAGGGAGCTCTAGGTATGTCACCCTGAGCTGCTATATGAAAGCCAGGAAATAAATATAGGAAATATAGACATTCTCCTCAAAGAGGAATCTGATCTTGAAAACATTTGTTTCCAGTAGTCAATTGGAAGAGTCTTTGGGTAAGTTCTGATTTTCATACCATCATCTGATACAGGAAACTAACTAACTTAAAATAGCTGAGAGGCTATTTGATCCTGAAGCCTGCAGTGATCCTTCTCCCTTTCTCTGTGTGAGGAGGGAAAAAGAAGCAATCTTTATATGCCCCAGATTAGGTCTTCTTGCCTTCACTGAACTCTTTGTAACTATCTCCAAATCCATAATTCAAAGGCATCTAGTCTGATTTTTATTGTAATTCAAATATCCTTATTCTTCATTATCTTCTCTAATTTTGCTATTGCTTTGTCTTCCAGACTAATCTTCTATTTACTTCTCCTTCACAATGGTCATCTTTCTCTGCTCTTGAGTCCAAGAAAACAAAAGTCTACCTCAACTTGAATTCTTCACTGTCAACCCTAAATTCACTAAGCATGCTAGCTGATAATTATCTTCATCTTCTTAACATTTAACATTAAAAGTGTTAAAATGAAAAGTGAAAAATCAATGAACTTTCACAATGAACTTTTCTAAATCTTCTTTACTTTCACCTAGCAAATTAGTGTTGTCCAGATATCTCAAACTGTTAGTGTTTCCTTCAGTTCCACCTGTCATCTTTTCTGATCCTGTCATTCTTATAATTATTCAGTAACTTTTACAGTAAACATAAGCACAACAGATATCAAGCCAATATGCATTCATGTCTCACTCCTCTCCCTATTCTTGAACCACCCGTTTTCTTCTAATTCAGTTCTTACAGCAGTTTCTTGTTCATTGGAAAGAGTCATCAGATTAATGATTATATGCTCTAGGATACCCATAAGCATCCATGATCACCAACTAGCAGTCAGAAGACATGATGAAAACTCCTTGATCTCACAACACATGGACAGACTTAACCATAGTTTCAGCTGGGAAACTGTCAGCATTGTAGATCAAACTAAATCCAAAAACGCAAGTGAATTCCTGGAAGCTTGGTATTCAGACAAGTCAGCCGTCAACAGGCACAAAGAGATAAACAACATTTACACACGATTCAAACGAGACAATAAAAAGGAAACAAAAACCCAGAACACCTCCTCACGAGCAATCAACACCCAGATAAGCAAGGATTAACACCAGGATCAACACCAGACAAACAATCAAGCAGTAAACAATACCCTAATCAA